GGGTTTTGGATAGAAGGAAAGAATCAAATACCTTTTAAGGCAAGGATCCTCGAGTTTGGGTTCATAAGAGCAGAATCTGCGGTAATAGGTCTCCTTAGAGGCTGCATCGGCATATTCATATCTATAATTACAACACTGTTTTGCGGTGACGTCTCTCGTACACAGATGTACTTGTCAGACTCCATAGTAACATTTGTAAACGTGATGAATTGCTGATTGATCCCGACGCTAGGAAGCTGGAAAAATCAAAATCAAGCATTACGTCACACATTTCATTTACTTAGTTATGAGATCCAAGTACATTAGCACATTGCACTAGACAACAACTTGAGATTCGGGATCGATAAATTAACGTAACACAGATCTGAGCATATTTAGAGAAATATGATCAGAAACATGCATTCCCCAAACCAGCAATCAGGAAAAATTAGAGAGTAAGACAACGATCGAGCAGAATTGAGATCAGTAGGAAACTGGAATCAATCAAACAAGAGACTGAACAGAGCTTAATCGATCAAAATCACGCTCGATTCCAGGAGATACACATATATTTAATCAAAGAGGAGAGTGAAGAGGAAGGAGAACTCACCGTCAGGACCTCCTTCATCGTGATGGGGGCGTTGGCAGCAGCCATGTTTGACCTCAGATCGCGGCAAGAGCAAACCCGGGGTCAGAATCAGAGATCTACGGGTGAGACACGACCGCCAATGGCCGGGAGAGAAAATCGAGACGAGAGAAAGACTGGAGAAGAAATGAAATCGCTGCCAGATCTGAAGCAAGTGAACGAGAAAGGTGATGGAAAGAGAAGCAGAGGAAATGAGGAATTAAGAAAAACAAATAAGGGTAAGTAATGATGAGCAGCGATCCATACATTTATTAACAGCCCCGGCCCATCTAGGTCCTTACTGGGCTCTAAGCATCCAAATTCTAATGAGACGACACGTGAAATATTTTAATTGGTGTTTTAAATGTAAAGGTCCCTTAGTTGGAACAACTAATAAAAGAAATGAGATGATTTGATAATAAATTAAATAATAAAGTTCAATTTTATCAATTTTAGTTTTAGTTGGAACAACGTAAAATAACTTAATTATTAAGATTTGATCCAAAAAAAAAAACAACTTAATAATTTAGAATGGAAGAAGTGTCATTGACTTAATAATTTTTGAAAAAAAACTTAATAATTTGATTCAAACAGAGGAACGAATCTTAATGGCTATGTTGTTTTGAGCATTTTTTTTTTTGTATAGGTCATTGTTATTAGCTTATAATGGCTTAGTGTAGAAGCTTGGTCTGATGTGTGTGGAGATTTGTTTCTCCATGTGTTGCTTCTGTTGTATGTGTTGGTACCTGTTTCCACTCTTACCAATACAAATCCAGTTGACAAAAAAAAAAAAAGAATAAGAATGGAAGAAGATCTCCCAAAAATAAAAGAATGGAACAACATAAATTAAAAGAAAGATTAGATCTCAGAATCAGTGGCGACCAAAACACAAAAATAAAATAAAAAGAAAGATCTCAGAATCGCGTCTTTCTTCTTCTTCTTCCTCCTAAACTTTTTTTTGTTTTTTTTTCAAATTCGTGGAGCTAACCATGAAATCGACACACCATCACAGAGCTCCACTAATTTCTGCTTCTTCCTCATCTTCATCTTCTTCCCAAAACCATTCTTTCGTCTCTAGGCTCCTCCTTCTCCTTACTTTACTTCCAGTTTCCCTTGCTTGTCTCGCCTTTATCCTCCAATGGCGAGGCGGTGGTCTCGCCGATCCTTCCTCTGCTTCTGTTCGTTCATCTACGTCGGTTCCTGGCGGCTCCGATCTCAATCACGAGGTGTTTCCCGGCATGGAGACTGTTTCTTCTGTCTCCCCAAAGTCTCACCAATCGTCTTCCGACTGCTCAAATCTAGCTCGCAGCTCTTCTCCTTCCTTTCCTTACTATGGTGATTGGAAGTTTGGTGTTGATACTAGTTTAAAGCCTAAGGTAACTACTTTCAATTCTTTTTGGATCGATCTACACTCCAAATTCCATTTTTTCTTAAATCTTACTCCAATGTCTAATCTGGAACATCAATTTCTTTTCTTTTTGGATCATAGAGATTTGAGAGATTTGAGAAATACGAAAGTTCAATTTTTTAATCAGATCTGTCATTGTAAATCACCTCACTTTTGTGTGCCCATGTATATGAGTCTTGACATTGCTACTGTTACAGATATGTATAACGACTAGCACATCAGCTGGATTGGATCAGATTCTACCATGGATGTTCTACCATAAGGTTCTAGGAGTCTCTACATTCTTCCTTTTCGTAGAAGGGAAAGCTGCTACTCCGAGTATTTCTAAAGTGCTGGAGTCTATTCCTGTGAGTTCAACTAACTCTCTTCGGTTCCAATTATTTATTTTGTTTTGGTTGTATATCTCTAGCTCTTTAGTCCTGTAGGTATAAATTGTATTTGAGGGACACAATTTTCAATAAATGTTGTAACATTGTCTCTTTCAGGGGGTTAAAGTAATATACAGGACGAAAGAGCTTGAGGAGAAGCAAGCAAAGAGGTTTGTAAGCTATGCCTTTGCATATTTGCGACAAAGCTATAGCTCTGGAAGGCACTAAGTACATGTTTTGTCTTTGTATGTTCTGAAATTGTAACATTGTTTGGTTGTATTTTCTATTACTGATCATTTTACTGTCATTGTTTTATGTTTTTGCTTCATTAGCCGGATTTGGAATGAGACGTGGCTATCGTCTTTCTTTTATAAGCCCTGCAATTATGAGTTATTTGTCAAACAATCTCTCAACATGGAAATGGCTATTGTCATGGCAAGGGTAAGTATTTTTTAGATCTTATTTGGTTGTTTTTTACTCATGTCTCATGTTATATTCACAATTTTCTTGCTCTTACTAAATATCAGGATGCGGGCATGGATTGGATACTTCATCTTGACACAGATGAGCTAATATACCCAGCAGGTGCTCGTGAGTACTCACTCAGACGGTTGCTGCTTGATGTTCCTCCAAATGTGGATATGGTTATATTTCCAAATTACGTGAGTGATATCTGATTCACACTTCTTGCATTTCTTATTTTCAGCTAGTTTTGTGAGTCTAAATTTCTTTTATGATCTGGGCTTGGCTATGTATAATTGTTTTGGATTTTGTTGTTTAGGAAAGCAGCGTAGAAAGAGATGATATCAAGGATCCTTTTACAGAGGTATAATTCAGTTTATTACTGTTTTTACGTAAGAGAGTAGGTTTATTAATTTTGTTTGTTATGTTAGTAATTACTTCTGAGATATGTGTGGTGCAAGCAGGTGTCAATGTTCAAGAAGAATTATGATCATCTTCCAAAAGATACATATTTTGGAATGTACAAAGAAGCAACACGAAATAATCCAAATTACTTCTTGACTTATGGTAACGGCAAATCAGTTGCTCGGGTTCAAGATCACCTTCGTCCAAATGGAGCACACAGATGGCATAATTACATGAAAACTCCCAAGTATGTCTATCATATACTCAAACATAAGTAAATTTTCTATTGGTTGAGGAACATGATAAGACTTTATTGTTAGTCTAATATAGAACCATGTAACTAGCTTAAAGGAGTTAGCAGTGGAGTGTAGTTACGGTCTTACGGTTAACAGCATAGTTAATTTTTCTGTTTGTGAAACCAAATCTTTTTTTGGAAATACTAACCTGATAATTCTTGCTAGTGAGATCAAATTGGAGGAGGCTGCTGTCCTACACTACACATATGCAAGATTTTCTGACTTAACATCCAGGCGTGATCGATGTGGCTGCAAGCCTACAAAAGAAGACGTGAAAAGATGCTTTATGTTGGACTTTGATAGATCTGTCAGCATCTTTTCTTAAAATCTCTAAAAATCCTTATAGTCATTTCTTAAAATCTCTAAATTTCACTTCCTTATACTCTTTTATGATGCTGTTTGGATGATGAACATTGTAGGCATTTATAATTGCGTCAACAGCAACTGAAGAAGAAATGCTAAGCTGGTAAGAACCTTAGCATTGTTCTTGGTTACTTGTGCAATGGATAACTTCTGACACTCTTTGAACAAGTTTAAAAGTTTGGTCCTATTTTGGTTACAAAAATATCTGGTCTTGATGCAAAAGTAAACTATCCTGTGTAGGTACCGTGAACACGTTGTGTGGGGCGACAAAGAGGTGAAGACGAAACTCATTAGGAAGGGTATTCTGACTCGCATCTATTCACCAATGGTAAGAACATACACAGTAATTCATTTTACAAATTTCCAAAAACAAATCCTGGAATGTTGAGTTCTTGCAAGTCACTTTGTTATTTACATTGGTGGTAAAATGCAGGTTGTTATACAAGCATTGAAAGAATCTGGTGTCTTTAGCTCGGTTGTCTCATCAGTGTCTACAAATCTTTCAAAGAAAAAGTTCTTATCATCAATTCACAAAAGCAACTCATCCAGGTCTACTGCATCTGAGTCCCTTCCATCAAAGGAAAACAAGTCTGAGGGCATCTCTGCAAGGCACCTTCTTGGGGATGAATCAGCCATCCCTCCTTTATCGCCACCTGGGATGGAACACGCTAGATTTGTCACAGAGGATTAACAGGTTTTAGCATTGAGCTGATGCATTCGCTTTTACAGATATTGATACTGGGTACAATATGAGTGCTGTGTAGCTTTAGGAAGGCAAGTGAAGTAGAACAAAGAAGAATGAAGAAAGCAGGTTTGTGCGATTCTTCCCAATCATCTTGAAAGACATCGATTCTCTTATCTCATTTTGTTCTCCCTCTGCAACTTATGATAGATGAGTTTGCAGCATTTTTCTGTTGTCATTGTTATTTCTATGTAAGTTTATTACTATGTACAGAACTTCAAAGCACAGAGGCCTGGAATCATCACTTTTTTCTACTTACATCGCCTTATAACAACACTACTGTCATTGCCTCTGCATGTGGGAGAGTAATACCAAACTTATCAATTCACATTGAATTGGTTCAAATTTAATCCAAATTCAATTAACCTGCACCTAACCGGTAAAGACCAATACACATATTGTCATGAGGATGACACAATCTACTCTAGGATTCCAAAAACAGGTATGAAGAAAGAGTCAATGGTCCATAAACGAAGATTTGGCACCAAAAGGCGGAGACTCCTCAAGTTATATATAAAAGCAAAGTAAGAAGGTGATTGTTGTCTGAGAGAGAGAAAAAGATGAACGATGCAGATGTGTCAAAGCAGATACAGCAGATGGTCCGGTTCATCCGGCAAGAAGCAGAAGAGAAAGCAAATGAGATCTCCATCTCCGCCGAGGAGGAATTCAACATCGAAAGACTTCAGCTTCTCGAGTCTGCCAAGCGTAAGCTCCGTCAAGACTACGACCGCAAGCTCAAGCAGGTCGATATCCGCAAGCGAATGTCAGCCATTTCCCCGCCTTCCTTCCTCTATATATCCTTCTCCTTTTGCTAGGCCCTTTATTTCATTCCATATTGTATGTTTCTCTTCAGCGACTACTCCACGCAACTTAATGCAAGTAGGATTAAGTACCTTCAAGCACAAGACGACGTTGTCACCGCCATGAAAGCGTCAGCAGCTAAGGATCTTCTTCGTGTCTCCAACGACAAGAACAATTACAAGAAGCTTCTTAAGAGTCTCATCATTGAGGTTTGTATATATGTCATCCTTTCTCCCCTCAATATCAACACGTCCTTACCATTATATAACAATACTGCAGAGTTTGCTGCGCCTGAAAGAGCCATCAGTGCTGCTGCGATGCAGAGAGATGGACAAGAAGGTTGTTGAATCAGTCATCGAGGATGCTAAAAGACTGTACGCGGAAAAAGCCAAAGTCGGGTCTCCTAAGATCACCATCGACGACAAGGTCTTCCTCCCTCCACCTCCTAATCCTAAGCTCCCTGATTCCCACGATCCTCACTGGTATACTTCTTTCTCAATCTCTCTCTCTCTCTCTCATTTTTTCTCACGGAATATATAGATGAACAATGATGGTTGTGTGTGAATGGTGAAGCTCGGGCGGGGTGGTGCTGGCCTCTCAAGACGGCAAGATTGTCTGTGAGAACACTTTAGATGCACGCCTTGACGTCGCCTTCAGACAGAAGCTTCCCCAGGTTCGGTCTTTTCGTTTAGGAATGTTCTTCTTTTCTCATCATTCCCAATCTCTCTCCCATTAACTCTTCTTCTCATCTCTGCAGATCCGGACGCGCCTCGTTGGAGCTCCTGAAACCTCCAGAGCATGATCCCAGCACCCAATTTTACAATATTTTGCTAAGGCCTCAATAAGTGACACATTTTGGCCTTCTGACACTCTCAATGATCGTCACTTTTTAGGTGGAGAACAAATGTTTTTAGTTTGTCGCATCCTTTTCATCTTTAAAATATTGTCAAGAGAGAATAACTGCTGAAAAAATGATACAGAGAATCTACAGCGAAGCTATTGAGCTATGCCCTTTTTAATTCAATTTCCTCTAAAATACTTTTGAGTAATAGCAATAAATACTCGCAAGATTTTAATAAGATATATAATACTCAAGAACCACCCATTTTCTTGCGAATGCATATGGTATTTACATGTTCCAAGCTACCTAAAACATAGACTCTGGTCGGCTCCTAACTGTTCTTCTCTCCAACCTCGACCTGGATTTGCGGTTAGCCTTCCGCAGCTTCTCTTCTGTAGGTCCTCCGCCAAATATCGAAATCCTCCCAATCCCTTTGGAAAGCGAGGTCAGCAATGTTCCACCATGACCTGACTTCTCCATCATCCCCTGTTTCATCAAAATCTGCTCCTTCTCTAACTCGGTCAGTCTCACTCTCACCCTCGAGATCTCCAGCTTCAGCTCTCTATTCTCCCGCCTCAGCGATGCATAAGTGTCTCTCGGAGACACAGCTCCGCTCGGGTTCCCGCTACTAAGTTTCTGAGACGACAACAATAACCCATCCCCTGACTCTCCGGACACAACATTCTTCATCCGCAGTTGTTCCGAGTAGAGAACTCGAACCACCATCTGCACCGGTAGCCGATCATTCTGAGCCACATGGTTGCATGCTTCTTGTGAGAGTTTCTGAGTGTCTATGAATTTGCAGAGACTCTGACATTCTTGTTCGTTCAGCGAGGGATGCCCCTAACCATCATTACAATGACATTCTCATCAGTACAAAATGTTGCAATAACAGAGCCTCCCTATTAAGGCACAGAATAAAAACTTTACCTTTAGAAACATATCAATGGCTCTGTATAGCCCATCATCCATGACACGTGCGTAATCAGGCAATATCTCTATCAAAGCCATGAACTTGTGGAGACTAAGACACGGGTCTGGTGCAATCTCTGCCAAGTATGCATCCATGATCCGACCCACTTTCAGCAATGAGCTATGGCATGTAGAACCAATAAGATTCTCGGTCTCGTTCTCGTAACAGCAATCTTCGTCATATTCTTCTTCCTCCTTTATTTTCTTCAGAAAGCAGACGAGTATTCTATGGACAGTGTCCACATCGTACATGGAATCTCCTTCTTGGACAACAGGTATGAGTAGATCATCGAGAGAGACTGTTTCCAGCTGCTGAGCGATTCTCCGCTCGAGCTCGAGCCTGCAAGAGATGGCTACATTTATAGTAATCCCAACCCTCAACATTCCGAAGAGGAAACTCAGAGGAACTTTGTCATTCGGGAAAAGACTAACAATGGCTTCAATGACGTTCCTCTGTTCATTCTCAATTGTACCTGAATCAAGCTTGGTTCGCTCCTTACAGTTTCGAATACCTTTCAACGATTCTTGAGCGTAATGCATCAGAGACGTTATGATACTCTCTGACCGCAAGCCTGTTCTAGCCATTGCAGAGACAACTCGTGCGTAATAGTCAATCCTCAGAGCAGAGAGGTCTTCAATCCACCACTCAGGACTATCTCCTCGGTTGACTTCCGCTGACTCGTTGCCTCGGTTCAGCCGCGATAGCCCCAAAACTAACTGTTCTCTGCAAGCATTCACAGCGATGGCCTCCACGCATCTTTCAGGAATGCGGGCAGTTTCAGCAATGTCTTGAGGATGAAGCGTTTCACAGGAACAGAGAACTTCCACAGACTTCTCAAGACTGCGAAACGCGACTTGCTCGAGGTAAGTCTCAGTCCGTGCGATCAAATTCTCTTCTTTAAAGTCCTCTGTCATCTCGAGATAACCAGCTGCGCAACGGATAGCAACCACGTTGGAGATAGTGATCTCGAAGTTGATGCCGTAGCAGAACTTCATAGCGAGTTCAAACGTCCTAGACCCACCTGGAAAGTCTCGTAGCTCTGTATGCGAGAGGTTTGAAGATGATTCCTTCATCTCTGCCACCATTTTCCTAATCTTTCCACACCGAGCCACCAGAGGAAACTGCAAAAAATTCAAACACCGTAAATTGAAATTTCGTCGAACACATTGTGTGTGTGTAAAAAAAAAAAAAGAACAGATCACTAACCTTGTGGAGTAAAAAGGACTCTCCATCAACAACAATTGTGATGTCTCCCGCAACGTCTGAGAATATACTGCAGTTTCAAATGGTAAAAACGAATCCTTTATGCATCGGACAAGTAATAAATCTCTATGTGATTTTGCATAAAAGGAAAAAACTTTGACATGTTAGAACGAAAGAGATAGTGAACAGACCGAGTGGCAAAGGAGCTGGAGAAGATGGAAGGAGCGGAGGAAGACGAGTGAGATTGAGCACTGTCCGATATAATACCCATTGTGACCTTGACGATGAATTTGAGGAGGAGCCTTTCAAAAACATATAGGCTTTGAACACTTTCCTTTTTCTTGAAATCGGATTTTTAAAAACCCTCTAATAGACTTTATAATGCACTTTCAATTTCGTAATCTTGACTCTAAAAAAAAAAGAAGAGATGCTTTTTTTTTGGTGATGTATGATTCAGAGCACGTGAGAAAAGCCGAGAGGGGGATGTGTGGCACGGAGCTCCATAAAGACTCAATTATAGTCTATTGGGGACACACTCTCACTTTACTAATTGAGGTCTCTATTTACAACCTCCACTCCCATTTTCTATCTAATCTTTCTTTACACTAACCAACCACCTATGAACCCTACTTTGTCACCACTACTTTTGCTCTATTTTGTTTCACCAAACACTTGACATGGTGATTTCAGATGTGAAATCCTTGTCGGATCAAAATGCATCCAATAGCAGCAGACAAATGGCAAAAGGACATAGGCAATGTATCCTTTTGAATGTCTTTAGATTCTTAATCACTATTACATCACTCTTATTTTATTATATTTCAAAGCTTACAGAAACACCTTTTGTCAACTCAAATCTCTGTTTGGTGTCTACTTATTGGAGGTTCCCTTGCTTCACTTGATTTATATCAATGTTCCATATTTCCAATTTAATTTGCAACTCTCGTGACTCTGTTCCACACAAATAATTACAGCTAGGTGATGCTTAAGCACGATATAGAAGAAGAAATTGTTGCCTAGTAGCTTTTTCCACTCTCATTTTTTCCATGTTTTATACATGTAAACCACTTAATGCATTTGCTCTCTCTTTCTTACTGATATTGATATGGATGCAAAATGAGTGGTATATAAACTTAGAAAGGCAAGCTAATTGAGGCAAGGAAGAGCGAAGAAAGTGGGTTTGTATTATTCTCAAGATAGATGAGTTTTGCAGCATTGTCATTTACCTCCACCATTGTTACTTTGATTCAAGTTCATTACTTTCGCACAGGACTTCTACGCTCCAGGCTAGGATGCATCACCTTTTTATTACTACTAACCTATTCACTGAACTAAATTGTAGGTACTACTCAAGTTGAAATTGAATTATGATTAATACTACAAATAAAATAGTAATCAAACAGGAATGAGGAAAATATAACTCCATAAATCCAAAATTCTTTTAAATCGAAGAGTCTAACAACTCTCTCAAACATGAATTATTCCATAAGTAAAAAAAAAAAAGTTGGCGTCAGAACGATATAAAATTTGGTTTAGGGCACATGCCTCCCTAAGTCTTAAGCAAAAAAAATTTCATCAACATCTCAGTTTCTTGCGGGTCTTAAAACCGCAATTAAAATCGGAAAAAGGAGAAGAAGCAATGCTTAAGCACCTCCTGATCCGTACTTCTTACCGAAGACAATCAGCTGCAATTTGTCGTAACCGGAAAGCACACCAGCACCTGCAACTGCACGCAGAATGTTGGCACCAGCTCCCTTGAAGAGTGACTTGGCTCCTTCATTCTTGAGGATCTGGGTAAAGGCGTCCAAGGAACTCTTGTACTTGACAGCCTCACCAGACGTCATCATCATTCTTCTGCGGACAGTGTCAATGGGGTAGGATGCAAGACCCGCACCATTGGTAATAACCCATCCAAGAGCGAAACTAGCGAAGAAACTGTCCTGAAATAACCAAAGAGAACGACAACAACAAGTCAAAATCTACCAATGATAAGAGAGCACACAGATAAGAGAAAAAAGACAACAAGACGAACCTGTAAGTCTCCAGTGAGGAGAACAGGCTTCACAGAGTCGTAGAGTCCAAAGTACAGACCACGGTAGACAATGATACCAACACAGGAGATGTTGAATCCACGGTATAGACCAGCAATACCATCAGTCTTGAGTGTCTTTCTGTAGACATCGACAAGACCATCAAACTGTCTGCCACCACCTCCTTTCTTTGCAGCCTTGGCATCATTAGCTAGACGGGTACGGGCATAGTCAAGGGAATACACAAAGAGAAGGGAAGAGGCACCAGCTGCTCCTCCAGATGCCAAGTTACCAGCAAACCACTTCCAGTAACCATCTCTGTCCTTCTTAAAGTTGAAAAGCCTTTTGAAGTAATCTTTGAAGGCAAAGTTCAAGGCCTACAATGGACAAAAAGGGAGGTTAGCACAAATTTATCTTTTCTCAAAAGCTAAAATTATGAAATTCAACCAACCTGAGTGGGGAAGTAACGGATAACATTGGCAGTGTTTCCTCTCCATAGAGAACCAAATCCTTCATCCTTTATCGTCCTGCCGAAACAGTCACCAATACCCTTGTAGGGTTCAGAAAGCCTACCAGCTTTAATCATCTCATCCTGGTTCTGGATCAAAAGCTTAACACGCTCAATAGGAGCAGCAGCAGTCTTTGAGACGGCAGCAGAAACACCACCCATCAGAAAGTCAAGGGCAAAGTTAGTGAACCCTTTCTCTCCTGGAGTTTGAACAAACACGGGAGAAGCAGTGGTTGCCAGCATCCGGGATGATGTGGGAGGAAATTGAAATGCAGCATTGGAGTAGTTTCCATAGGTTGCATGTCTCTGGTACATAGAAGGCCTCTGGTAACCCACATGGACGTCCTTGGAAACACTTGAACGCATGAACTGTCCAGCAGCTTTCTGCGCAATAGTGGGGTGCTGAACTTGATCAACCATTTTGAACTCTGCAAAATCACATAACCATTGATGAGAAACAAGACGTGAATATCATCATACAAACCAGCTAAGGCTAATCAGAAAATGCTTTTCCAACACAAAACAAATCAGAAAGCTTTCCAACCAAACAATCCAAGATTATTGGAAATCACAGCTGACAATTCAAAAGTCTGAATGACTGAAAACACGATTGCTAATTATAATTCTTTGAACAACATACAAAAGAAAAAAAGATCGAAGCAGCAAGTTGATACAATGAACCAAGAACTACCATGACATATGATAACGCAAAGATCGCGTAAATTTTAAGAACAAAAACTTAAATCTGGTTCAACAACAATCACAATTTCCATTAATGGAGTCGCAACATCAGATCCAAAACATTTTATACTAAAGTCAACAGATCCAAACGATTTCGATCACTAGAAGATCATCAGATCAGAGAAATGCACAAAACGAAGCAGATCTACAAAACCGATACACAAAAGCTTCGAAAATGAGCTCAAAACATTCCGATCGGAGTTCAAGCAAGCAGATAATATCATCTAGCAATACAACAATCAGATCTATGAACCGAAACATCTCATTTACCTTATAGATCTAAGAAAAACACAGATCGATGGAACAAGAATAACAATGATTTGTTGAAGAACAAAGGAGATTATAAAGAATGACAGATCTGAGAGAAACGAGTCATACCTAAGAATCGATGGATGAGCAAAATATCTGGAGAGAAACTCCGCCTTTATCTCACAGGAAATGAGAGGGCGAAGCAAAGAAGAGAGACGAAGTTTTCTCTGTGGTGAAGAGGCGAGCTTTGAAATGAGCAATTGTTTGCCCTTTTATCGTCTCGAAAAATAGGGTCGCAGAGTCTCGGTCGTCACTCGCCAGTGGGGACGGGTTATAATCTAATACAAACAGTAGCATATGGGCCTCGCTGCTTAATATCCGTTCGATTATACTGATTGAAACATATGCGGCTTATTAACCGTCGATTATGTTTACGTTTTGATAGAATTTGACTTTTTCGTGATGGTACTACTTTACTTGCTAACCGTTAGATCTTGCACTAGGAATCTGGAGCGTCATTTGGCATCGTTGAGGGCAAATAGTGAATGGACGGCTGGAAGGGTAGCGTGGAAAATTATTTTGTCTACCATACCGAACCAGATCCAATTTGCAAATATCTTATGCAAAAATTATTATTATATAAAAGGATATAAATTGAAGTGTTCAATTTTATTTTTAATTGCCAGATTTTCAACTGTTTTCTTTTCTACTATATGAATATGAGATTTGTGAATGTACAAAATAAGAAATATATTTTTAAACTGATCAAGTCCTATTTCTTTTGTTTGATACTCCCTCCCTTTTCGAATAGTTGTCGTTTTAGAGTTTTTTTTGTTTTAAATTAGTTGTCGTTTTAAGGTAATAATGTAATTTATGCCAATAACTATCTAAATTACCCTCATTTTATTGAACACAAATTATTTGTAAATAATTACTTGTCATTTTTATGAGGTTAATATAGTCATTGTATACCTTTTCTTAATTTGTCCAAATACAGTTAAAACGACAACTAAAACAGAAGAATATCTACATATACATTTTTACAGGGGATTTTTGCAAAAAGTCTTTTGGATCCGGGTTTTACCCGGTTTAACTCTATTCGGATCTAGAATAAGAAATTTAAGGAAGTTTGTAATAAAAACGACATTAATTCTTAATTAACACCTAAATTAGAAATATATATAATATATCTAAACTAACCATATTTGTTATTTACCTTAACTACTTCTAACCATAATTATTTAACTATTTATTTCTATATAGAAAGAATATATGATTAAAATAAATATTTTGTAAAAGATTGATTTGGGGAAAAATTGTTATTACGAAAATAATTTGTTTTGTTATAAAAATTAATATTTGTTATATGTAATTAAATTACATAAATAGTAATAATAATTTGTCTACACCATCAAATGAAAATAGTTAGTTATTTATTTTTTTATTTAATATTACGTCATTTTTAAAAAATAAATTCAACAATATAATGTCAATGAGTTTAATTCTAAAGATTTGAAAATATTAAAAAGATACTAACCAAACATTATCTATCCTAATTTGTTTCTAACAATTTCGACACAAATCTTTCGAAAATTTAATGTGATC